GGCCCATAGATTTTTTTTTTCCCCAGCCTGACCCTAAGGTTGCAATTGAGAAAACTAAGAAACAGACAACAATTGAGAATAGAATCAAGGAAGAGATAGAACAAACTATTCAAATATATTGCTCGCTAGTTCTATGAGGCGAGCATTCCCTTCAATGCCACTCACCTAAGCAGCTTTTACGCCTTGGTGTTGGCAATTGGCCAATTCGGGTCTTGGTTGAAGCCCCCAACTCCATATGAACTTTTAGAACCACTTTTGAAAAAAGCGATGGAAATCACAAGGGAGATCGTCAACACACATATGGATGCATGGGCTCAGTATGGGGTATCTAATATGACTGACACTTGGAAGTGACAGGAAGGGGAGTCCGATGAACTTGTTGGTGAATTCTCCTTTAGGGACAATTTTTTTAAGATATATTGATGCCTCCGATGATAGCGATGATGCCACATACATATTTAAAGTGATTGAGAAGGTTATCAAGGAGGTTGGGAAGTAGTATGTTATTAAGGTCGTCACAAACAATGTTGCTCCTAATGTACCTGCTTCTAATTTGTTGTGCCAGCGCTACCCTTGTATCTTTTGGACATCATGTGCAGCCCACTGCATCGACCTCATGCTTGATGCTATTGGCAATACGACCAAGATTACCGGCACAATAAGGACGGGTAAGTCAATTACAGCCTTAATCTATAGTCACACCCTCACCCTCAACATGACGCACAGGTTTACAAAGAAGGAGATAGTGATACCAAGGGTCACGAGATTTGCTACCTGGCTCTTGTGTTTGGATAGTATATATACAAGGAGAGTTCAGTTGATGCAGATGTTTACTTTTGATAATTGGAGAGCACACAAGTGAGCCAGGCATCAAAAGGGAAGAAGGAACAGGATATCATCTAATCTAAGAATTTTTAGCGAGGAATCAAGGACACTCTTAAGATATTTTTTCCTTTAATCAGAGTCTTCTGCACAGTTGACAGTGACAAGCTCTCCATGGACTCCAGATATGAGGCAATGGAAAGTTGCAAGACACAAATAGCTGAAAATTTAGCTAGTGATGAGAGCCTATATGAGCTAGTTTGCAGACTACTTATGACAAGCAGAATGGCAGCTACACCAACCATTCAATGCAGTTGGTTATTATTTGAACTGAGCTCAATGTTCAAAAAGACAGGTGCAATAGCCTGGGCGATCGAGGGTCCCAACTGCCTGGGCAGCCACGCAATGACCTAAGTGGCCACCATGTAAAAGAAAGGGGGGAGGGGCTTTAGGGGCCACACAGGGCGATTAGTTCGTCATCTTAGGCTATTAGTCTGCCCTGGGTGATTAGTCAGCGCCCTAGGCCACCATCCTTCATTGGGCCGAATAGTCCCAGAGGGGCAGTGAGGCCTCCCAACAGCCTGAGCAGCCCGCCCTGACGGCTGGCGGCCAACTTTTTGAACATAGACCCAACTCTTTTTTATGCTAATTGGGGAATATAGACAAATGACACAATTATTGGTGAATTTAATTATCGTCTCAATGTGCTCATCCTAAATCAGGAATCCGGGACAATATGCGCTGAGGAAATATTAAATTACACATACACATTAAAGTCATTTGGGCATGCCATGCCAATAAGGAAGAGGACCAAAGTTTGATCCAAATAATATACTTAATCTAGTTTCAAGTTCAAGTTCCATGTTTGTTGATTGATTTCGCATTTCATATATTATCATAATTCATATGCAAGTCATAATTAACAATAGATATCTCTATCACACTTAACTTGCAAGCATTGGATGAGTCAGCATGGGTATAGTGCCCCAAACTTATAAAAGATTGCCATTCGGATCTTGAGCATAACTACTACCTCATTTGGTTATGAGCAGAAATGGACTATTTTTGAAAGGGTATGTTACTTTAGTTTAGTCACTTTAGTGAATATAACATTGTTACTTTAAGCCCTTGACTTATTCTTTACTTTATTAAGTTTAAATTTGAAAAAGTTTAATCATTAGTTTACTAATTACTATATAATATTAATTAATTTCATTTTATGTATATGTGTTTTCATATAGGTTTATACAAAGAAAAGAAACAAGCCTGAATCAAAGAGGCTAAATAACTTAGTTTAGGTGAAGTTCAATCGATACTTAGAGGATAGGTTTGCTAAGCGTGAAAATAGAGACCCCCGTAGAACAATGGGCATCGAGAATGCCATATAGAGTGGTTGGTTGAAAATGATGAAGTCGAGGGCCATGAGGGATTGACATGGGATATGGTTATGGAGGCCTCAGGAATAGTAGTTGACCCACCTAGGGTCACTAGACCATCTATCCTAGAGGAGGGTCACTGAGATAGAGGAGGAAGAGGAGGCAAATTCAAAAGAAACAAAGGAAGATGAGTGTTATGTTGAGGGATATAATTCTGATGATGATTGGACCGAATACAGTGCATATGATGTCGATAGCCCTACTTTTTCTTATGATGACCAAAGACTCCTGGTTCCTCAAGTCTATATTTCTTTCCTTTTTCTTTCTTCCTCTTATGTCTATGAACTGGGAAGGCATGGACAATGAGGTATGTTCTATGGAGTGTAGATTATGGATTATAGTTTGTGATTCGTAATTGTGACTGCATTACTATTATATTTTCTTTCTAGTTGTATTACTACTAGGAGTCTAATCTAGCACTTTGGATTGAAAAGTGGGATTATATTTCCTTAATGTGTTATTGACTAATTGTCCAATTGTCATATGCTTTGGTTTGACTTTGGATGATTGAACATAAAATAAATACAAAAAATGCATGAATATGCATTTTTTTTATACACAATTTTGGACCTACAACAGCGTTTTTGGACACCTTCTACCCTTGTTCTTCAACCAAGGCCGCCAAGAAATCCGGGCGGCCTGGAACCCCTTGCCTAACTAGGTGCACCCAAAGTTTTCTAGAGCACTACCCAAAACTGAAATAAAACTACATAGGGATGCCAATCAAGTCTTAGATAATTTATTTAATTCAAAACCAATCAAAACATATCTGTAAAAGCTGCCTACAGATTTGATATTTGTGAGTGCATGCATTAAATCAAAATATTGAAGAAAAATTGTGAAGACCATGAATTCATGGTTTCCTCCAAAGAATTGCTTACTGTCCTTAACTAGTCTGATTTTGACTACTACACAGTTTTTTTTTTTTTTTTTTTTACCTTCCTGAAATTGTGAGTTTTGGTAAATTTTAGGCACCATCTTAAAAAGGAAAAACGTTAATAATTATATATTCCATCATTTTACATGTCATCAACTAGAGGGTGGTGTAGCATTGAGTTTTGTTTTGTAAAGAGGGCTAATCATAGCTCCTTCAAGGTAACAGTTCTTAACTCTCTACATCAATGGATTAAGAAAAGGCCCCTACATCTAGTCAAGTTCAAAATAAACTAAACTAATCATAAAAAAATTTCAAACAAGTGTCAAAGCAATTAATCCAAAGTCTCCCAAACTGTAGTTGTGGCAAGAGTTTCAATGGAAAGATATCAACTTCTATATGGGCTTTCTTGATAAAGGAGAAAAGACATAAATCAATGGGAAAGTATTTTCGTAATTGTATGCCAATGTTTTATAACAGTAAGATCAGCCATGCTTTATAGGACAGAATATTGGACAGTCAAGAAACATATCCATAAAATAAGTGTAGCGGAGATGAGGATATTGAGATAGATGAGTGGCAAGACAAGGAAGGATAGAACTCGGAATAAATACATTTGAGGGAACTCAGGGGTAGCTCTAATAGACGATAAAATGAGGAAAAGTAGACTTAGATGGTCCGTTCATATGGAGCATCAACCTAGAACAGCTAGTTAGGAGGGGCGATTTGATTCAAGTAGAAGGTTCTAGAAAGGTAACGAGAAAGCCCCAAAGAACATGGATGGAAGCAGTAAGAAATATATGATGGCTTATACTCTAATTGAGGTTATAGCCCTTAATAGAGCAAAATGGCATAACAGGATTCATGTAGCTGACCCCAAATAGTTGGGAGGCTCGATGATGATGATGATGATGATGATGTATGCTCATATAATACAACAAGATGAAGTATTACACACATCCATAAATAAGACCGTGATAGCCATGTGAGGTGTCAGAATATGTGGGATAAATTTATTGCATCTCTATTGGCCGAAACATATGCCACTGAAGTTGATCATGTCTGCTAGGAAGAATATGAATGCACCTAAAAAATTTTGAATATTCCAATAAAAGTACAATTGGCTAGTAAAACTGTTTTATAATTCTATCATAACAGATTAAATTAATTCTCCTTAAAATCTTTAGTTAATCGAAAGTCCCAACAATAGTTTCAGACCTCTCAAGAAAATCCCTGGACAAAATCTGCATTCAAAACCTAGCCTAAACTGTTCTTCCTCTTGTTGCCAACAGAAATATTTCAGTCATATATGCTTTTCTGAGGATATTACTCATAGGGAAACTCGAATACATTTATGAAAAGCATGAAGCCTCAGAGCGATGCAGTATCACATGTCAAATCTCATCTGCACCTGCCCTTGTTCATTGAAGAGACAAAACCAAAATTTCTCGTATTTGGCTCTTGCGCACCTCTTTTGTTTGTCTTTTCTTTTTTCCGTTTTCTACTCTCGCCAAAATCACATGAATTTCATTGTTTCTAAGGTCGTTGACATAAAATTTGAATATCCGTAAATTCTAAAATTTGAAGAAACAGATCAAACTCAGACCAAAACACCTGAAATTGACGTGATTTTCCTCACAATTTGAGTAATTTCCTAGATCCATATAGAAATTAGGTAATCGAATCTGCCCTGCTATTATAAATTATAACTGGAATCGGCTACCTTGAAGGAAATCAAAATTTGTGTATTCAAATATAAAAACGCGACAAAATGTTCAAAAAAACAATATCAAAACGCGATATATGAAGAGGAAAATGAATATGAATAAAAAGAAAAAAATACGAAGTAATAATTGGATGATCCTCACCATTATGCGAAGGTATTGTGTGCTCGATCTCACTTGAAGTTTACTTCTTCAATGGAACTCCACCCTTGTCTTTGGCCGTGCTCTAAGAAAATAAACCAGTATTGCCCACTTAAATAACGAATGAACGGAGGAAAGTTCCTTTTGAGCTCGTTTGTTTCCGACTACTGAAATGTCATAGTTCTGGGTACCTGTAATTTTGATAACAAATGTATATTAATAATATAAATATAAGGAAAATTGTTTCATGCGGGCTTGACCGCATCACGTCCAAAAAGTGTACAGACATCAACCTTAAAGATGAATGAAATAAAACAATAGAAATGTACGGTCCAAATGTCTTTTTACTAGAATTATTATTTTTAGATTTTAAAATTTACTTATTTTTTTCATATTGATGATCTCCATGTGAGAAATTACATATTCTTAAAAATTATGTCTAAAAATCCACTTCAAAAATAGATTTTTTAATAGGCCTGCATTTTTATATATGCAGGCTTGGCCGCATAGAAACCGGTCCTAAATATATAATATATAATATAATATAATATATAATATGTATATTTTATTATATATATGATATTTAAATATATAATATATAATATAATATATAACATGTATATTTTATTATATATATGATATTTAAATATATAAAATATATTAATAGTATATATATTACATTACATAATGAGAAAAGATCATGTCAGCCCAAAGGTGTACAGCTACAGTAAACGTCAACGGTCCAGATTGAATCTGGACCGTTCTGACGATCCCAAATGTCCGATAGTGTTTGAATTTTAATTTTTTTTCTAATTGATCTGAAATTTGGAGAGTGTGTACATAAAAAATAGGTGAATCTTTGAAAAATATAAAAACAATATTTTATATGAAAAAAATTGACCAAAATACCCCTGTAAAGTTTTGGGGGTATTTTGGTCAATTGTTTTTTGCAGATTATTCTGGTTATATTTTTATTAGGTGTTCCTTGATGAGAAGAATATACACCTAAAATTGCAAGTGATTTGGATTCATAGAAAAAAAAATTAAAATTCAAACACGAAAAGATATTGTGACCGTCAAATTGCCTTTGGTGTTTACTGTAGCGGTCTGCTAGTAGGCGTACAGAATCCACTTCCTTATATAATGTTATATAATATAAAATCTAATATAATAAAATATACAATATTTTTATAAAGTATACAATATTATTATAAATATATATTATCTAATACAAATTACATTAATAAAATAAATATTATAATGTAATATAATAATTATTTATTTTTGTGTTTAATTTAATTTTTTTATTTAATTCTTTGTTTTATTTCATTTATTTTTTACACCTCCCACAAGGCTCTCAGTCACAGGGAAATGTTGCTTAATTAGGGTCCCATCACCCACGAATGTCAAAACCTGGAGTTAATGCTGCCCAATTAGGAGCACACCACCCACCTCCTCAAAAGACCCATTCTAAGAGTCACTAGCTCAGTAAGGTCCATAGCAACCTAGATGATGAACTCATAAGGCAGCCTAACATTCTAGACTTAGAGTACTGCCGAAGATTAAGTCAAGGTCAAGGCTAGCCGTCAAGGAAAACTAGAGAGCCAAACATCGTCGCTTAAACTCAAGAGTTCATCAAGCCATGCTTCTATTCCTCAAGGTTCACCTTATCCAATTCTAAGGAATATGAGTCCCTTTCAATCCAATATCTTAAGAACTTTCCCGAAGTCAAAGATTTCTTGAGGCATGTTGGCCTTGTTGAATCACATGCCCCACTTAGGGTGTCGAGTCATCAGTCAGGTCAGAGTCAGAAGACCTCTCTAGCCCCTAACCAACAAAGTCATGTGAGTTCTACCCCGTCGGCGAGCCGACACCACCAATCTTCACGTCCTCCAACTCTTGTAGAACCGGCTCAAACATAGGACCATCCATCCCATAATCGGTCCAGACCTGACCCTTCTCAGGCCAGGTATAGTCATTCAACGGTGCAGCCTCTTCAGGCCGCCCCGTTCTCATATCATTAGTTGCAGGTGGCCTATTCAGGTCATATTCCAACTCAGTATCCACTGAGTCAGCCACACCTGTCAGCTCCATACCCTCCGGCCACACCTCCGGCTTTTAGTCATCATTTTCCAAGATATCCTGTGCACCAGGCCAGTTGTCCATTTTCAAGCATCAGCACTGGCTTTCCAGCTCTTGGCTCCTCTAGTTCAGGTCGCTTCTCTGACCCACCTGTATTATCCCTCGATTTAGGCCCCTAGTCTGCACCACCTCTCTATTCGGTTCTAGCCATCCCGGCTTGGGCCTATTCGCCTGTGTTAGCACTTAACACTGCTCCAGCCATCTCACAGGGTCAGCCTGCCCCTAGTCTAGTGCAACCTATATTAGTTGGATCTCTTGCACCATAAATTATGTCATCAGTCCAGGGAAACTAGCAGACCTTTGAGGTTAAAAACCCTAAGTTAGTTGAGCTCGCCCAGCTGAAAGACGAATCATCTACATTTAAAGAGACCTTGGCTAAAATCGGAGTTCACAATATACTCCATCCACGATCTAATGTCAGTGATGTTCTTGAGAATGTCGAACCCCTTCCTTCGGGTTTTGAATTCCTTTAATTCGAAAACAAGTTCAACGGGAAATGTGACCCTGAAAATCATGTCACCGTTTACTTGTTGAATGTTCCTACACTTGAAGAGAAACTACACCATCCGAAGACCATGTTTCAGTACACTCTATATGGAAAACATTTAATGTGGTTCCAAAAGGTGGTTACTAAATACCCGAATCAAAACCCCAATTGATTGTTTCGATGTTTTGTTGGGCAATATTGCAAGGCCAAAGAGAGACCAATGACCATTGGCGAATTGGTCTCCGTCCAACAAAATCTTAGTGAGTTGTTTACGGACTTTGTCCAAAGATTTAGAGAGGCTTCATCTCATTGATTGCACGCTTTCTTAAGCCTCTAAGATCAATATGGCCATAGAGAATGCGTCCCCAAAGTATAAATTCTACTTCGGTAAAAGCATTCAACATTTCTCTTTTGACTTGATGCTCGAAATGGTTTCACATTATGAGAGAGCAAAGGAAAAGGGTTGAGATCAATCACAAGTCACACTAGGGCAGGATCCCAATGAAACCATGCTGGGGCTAGAGCCTGATAAAACCATGTTGAGACAATAGCTAGATGAATTCATGATGGAACACATGCCTTACCACAGTGATGATTCATCTGAATGTAACTTTGAAGAGATGACAATTGAAGAATTTGAAGCCAATCCCGAGTCAAAACCATCACCAAAATTGTTTAAGGATATAGATGGGGCTTATTCAAAGCAAACCTAGGTAATATCATATGATACAATTGATGACGATGAAGAAATTCCAATTGATATCAATTTGATAAAGATCGACAAGTCAAAATCCCTACTCTAGCCTAAAAATCATCCAATATGGCCTTAAAGCACAGGAAGAAAGCATTCTGAATATGAAGACTGAAATGGTATAGTGACTTATGTTACTAAGGAATTTCATAAACCAAATGATGAGAATTGCCTTAGCTTTGGGTCTATTCCATGGGGAGAACATATAGAATTAAAGAAGTCCAACCCACAAAAGGAGGAAGGAATTCTAATTGTCCCAGTAAAAGTTGAGAACATAAAGATACAAAGGGACCAAATTATTTATCCTATCAAGAAACATGAGATCTTTCAAAGCCATATGGCTAAGGAATCTCATAAACAAAATGCCAAAATTTGCCTTAGCCCAAAGTCCATGATCCAAGAGAAAATGGAAGAGAAAACTATCCCACAAGCATTTGAAGTGGAAGGAACTAACTTACAGGAGACTCAAAACACTCCTATCCTAGAGCGTGGGGCAAGGGCAAATAATCTAAACGAGGACAATAATTGCAGATGGAATTCCAAAACTCAAGGAAATGAGAAAAACTTGCAAAGGATCTTGATTCCAATTGAAGATACGAGCCACAAAATTTTCAAAACATTCATGTGATACATGCCACCATAAAAGAAGATAACCTAATCAATCCCATCTTTCAAATAAGTACATTAGATGACCCGAAAGAGGCTCGAGTTGTCCATGAGCTCAACCGAGATTTTTAAGCTAGGGATTCCCAAGAGTACATTAGTGAGGAATGTCTCAATCCCGAAAGTGCAAGTGCAATCTTAGTAGAAACAAAGGAGTCAAGCCTAGAGGATTCATTTGAATTATCCCCTAAGTTAACTTAAAAAAATGTCTATTCATTCAAGAATGGATGAAAAAATAGAACCATTAGAAATCCTAAGGGATCCACCTTGGCAACATTTACCTGATTTCTTAGCAAACCCACTAATTTAGGATAAAGAGTTAAGCCTAGAGCAGTCAATTCAACCATCCTCTAAGGTTGATCTGGCAACCAATTCAAAAGAAGCAAAAGGTCTAGACTTAGTCATTCTTGAAGATTCAACACTTCTACAAAAATTAGAAGAAGCCAAACCTCTAAAAATTCTAACGGTACCACTTGGGTTACTCTCATAAGATTTCCTAGATAACCCGCCTATCTGAGACAAAGAACCCCAAGAAGTAGAAAGGGGCAGGGGCACTACACTACTTGGGGCACCCCATGTTCAAGAGGAAAAAGAAGATCTGGAAGGATAGCTTGATAGGGAACTCCCCGTCTAAAGAAAATGTTGTAGAGATTTTCCCATCCAAAATGATAAGAGGGACAATCTCATTTAATGAAAAAGACTCTACAGGGGTAGCTCCACCAAACTACTTGATAAGGGCACCCTTGCTTGATGATGATAATATAGTAGGGGCAATCGATGAGGCCCCAAGAGCAACATGAAGTTGCAGCTGAAAAAGACCACTGAAAAAGCGTGGGGTGATTACTTACTCTTCCCTTTCAAATAAGTCAAGTGGGGTATCTGTACTCTGCTTAAGCATTCTACTCTATGGCCTTGATAGCCTAAGCAGTCAAAAAACCGAAAAAGAAAAAAAATAAAAAAGACGAAAATGAGCTTAGCCAACCAAGCAAGAGATTGAAGGATTAGAAAGCTGAGAGTGACTCCACGTCTGAAGCTCAAGGACATAGTGAAGCAAATCAAGGAGGACAAACTCAATAACAATTCAACAACATTTGTCAAAGAAGTATTGGATACCAACCATTGGCAAGGAAAATCCAAAGATAACCAATACTAGAATCTCCCAGCCATCAGAAAGAGG